GTCGCTTTCACTGGATGTCCCTCGGGACCACGCAGCAGGGTCCTGAAGTTGGCAGTTGGCCGATGGGTTAATGCATGGTCACGCAGGTCTCTCCCTCTCGCCCACGTTCTCTGTCCTACCTGTGTGTGCCGCCCAGGGAGGAAGGGCCTGGGGGCAGAACCCCTACTGCACGTTCTGAGTCTGCTCTGCAAGAGGCCGGTGGTTGTGGCTTTTCCTGCCACTGCTTGCTGTCTCCCTGGGACCTTCTCCTTCCGGGCTGGTCCCTGGAGGATCCAGGAACAAGAGTCTCCTGTTCTCCCGTTACCTGTCTCATCTCACTCAGTACTTTTGGGGGAAAAAAAAGGCTAAAAGTTTGCTTTGGATTAGTGGAAAGGTTTGAAGACACACAGCTGGCCTACTAAGCTTGGAGCAGGTGCTTCGAGCACATCAGGCGCTCAGACATAATTTCCCAAAGGACGCAAGGGTTACGCACTATGCCCCAGGCCTTGGCATCCAGAGACCCTGTGTGTTCAGTGGGAGGATGGTTGTGTGAGGTTGGGGTGGTGGCGCTAAGAGAATCATTTAGATTTTGTTTACTTAAAAAGTGGTTAGTTCTGGAGGGTGGCGCTATGAGGAGGTTTATTATTCTTTCTACATTTAATATTTCTTAAATTATGAAAAGGAAATAGTCTTAGAAAAGCAACGGGCTCTGTATTAAACATCTCACTTATTTCTCTGTAACACCAAAAACTTATAATTCAGCTGAAGTGAGTTTTTCTCTGGTAGCTACAAATAGCTCTTCTGCCATAGAAATGCTGTTCTTCCGGTTGTATTTGTGGGCAGTGTGGCTGTCTTTTACCGGTGTTGATGCCTAGGCTTAGCCACTGCTGCAGGTCAAACTTATATCAATCATATAGTTCAAAACTGGATAATTCCAATGTGTTGCAATCTCCAAAATAGGCCCTTTCAGGCTATAAAGGACAGGGTACTCTGATTCCTGCTCTCGATGAGGGCTGATTGTGACACTAGGCGAGGGAGGAAGGGATGCAGGACGCCATCTCTGCAGCTGCATCTTTGTCCAGAAACAGACATTGTTCAGGGGACACCTGAGCCTCTGACAGTCAAACAGTGGCTCTGGCAGCTCACGGCAGTTATAGGGTGGCTGGGTCTTTTCTAAAGTCCTGCCTTTTTAGGGCCTACAGTCACGGTGTCTCCACTACTGGCTGTGTTTCTGCTGCTCCTTCCTGCCCTCAGCCAGTCTGCCCACTGTGGAAGTCTGCATTTCTTTCTCTCTCTCTCTCTCTCTTTTTTTTTTTTTTTGAGACAGAGTTTCATTCTGTCACCCAGCATGGAGTGCAGTGGTACGACCTCGGCTCACTGAAACCTCCACCTCCCGGGTTCAAGTGATTCTCCTGCCTCAGCCTCCCAAGTAGCTGAGATTACAGGGGTGTGGCACCACACCTGGCTAATTTTTGTGTTTTTAGTCGAGACAGGGTTTCACCATGTTGGCCAGGATGGGCTCAAACTCCTGAGCTCAGGTGATCCGCCTGCCTCGGCCTCCCCACCTGCTGGGATTACAGCTGTGAGCCACTGTGCCTGGCCTGGGGTCTGCTTTTCTAACCGCCCTGGGAATTTGTAACCATAGAGCAATCCTCAAAGTTTCAGAGCTCAAATTCATACTACCTGTGTCACCTGAAAAACCCCTGAACCAAGAATTCAGACTGGTTCCTTGGTTGGCAGCACCCTCAAGTGCCTGCCAGGAGCAAATTGCTTATCATCTCCAGAACAACATACCTGCAACCACAGTTAGCCGTCCAGATCTTTGGCACAACTTTGGATGAGCCAGAACCTTACATGGCAAAAGGGACGTTGCAGATGTGACTGACCTGAGAATGGCAAGATGGGGAGATTATCCTGGAGTGCTGGCTTGGCCCGGTGTAACCGCATGGGTCCTTAGAGGGGTAAAGGGAGGTAGGAGTCAAGGAAGGTGACATGATGACAGAAACAGGTGGGGCGGAGGGGGCTGGCTATGGAGGGGCAAGGAGCCACGAGCCACAGATGCAGGCAGCCTCTAGAGGCTGGGACAGGCCAGGCACGGATTCTCCTCGAAGCCTCCCGATCCACTGTTTGTGATACTTGGTTATGGTAGCAATAAGATATTAATGCGACTGCTCTATTGAGATAAATGTATGTGTCATACAACTGACTCGTCCGACATGTCCAATTCAGCGGTTTTATCGTATGTTTACAGAGCTGTGTGAAAATCTAAAGATTTTCAAAGATGGATTAAAACACACTACACAGTGAAAGACAAATGATCTTTAGATCACATGGCTTTTCCCGGATAGTGCCGCGTACGAGGCACCATCTGCGTTCAGGGAGGTGTGCTCAGTGAGGCTGACACAGAATCAGAGGACCCCGTAGGGTCCATGAACGTCTGCCTTTCCTTTTTATCTTAATAGACAATCCTTTCTCATAACCCTTTTTGTTACCTTTCCCTCCACGATGTTTCAAATATTTATTTGCTGCCACTTACCTTGAACCAGTTCTCGTTTGATTTTAGCTATCAACCTTCTAAATCTTAAATTTCTAATCTGTTGCTAAGACGCCTCATAGTACCCTAATAAACCCTAATTCAACTAATAAACTTCTAAATGAACTGGCTAAGACGCATATTTCGTTTTGTATATTTTTCACTAACTAACTTACTTTTGTTTTTTGCTTGCTTGTTTGTTTTCTGAGACGGAATCTCGCTCTGTCTCCCAGGTTGGAGTGCAGTGGCTCAATCATGGCTCACTGCAACCTCCACCTCCTGAGCTCTAGTGATTCTCCCACCTCAGCCTCCCGAGTAGCTGGGACTATGGGTGTGCACCACCATGCCCAGCTACTTTTTGTATTTTTTGATGAGATGAGGTTTCACCGTGTTGAGCAGGCTGCTCTCAAACTCCTGTCCTCAAGTGACTCACCTGCCTCGGCCTCCCAAAGTGTTGGAATTACAGGTGTGAGCCACTGTGCCTCGCCTCACTAACTTTATAAGCCTCCATTCAAGGAATTTGTTCTATATGAAACTCTGAAAATGCCTGCTCACCGGGGACGGTGGTCCAGGATATTTGGTACTAACACTGAGTTGTTTTGCGGGTGATGAGATCCGAGCGGGAATCTGTATGTTTGTCCTTATAATCCTCCAAAATAAGATATCTGTTTTCTGGCCCTATTTTAAGGTAAGTATATATATTTTTTAAGTTGATATATTACCCATCTTCCAAATTACTTACATGAGAAAAAAAATCTCAAACATTCTCTCCCTCCTTTTAAAAAAATTTAGGGCTAGGCACTGTGGCTCACACCTATAATCCTAGCACTTTGGGAGGCCACGGCAGGAGGATCACTTGAGCCCAGGAGTTCAGACTAGCCTGGGCAACATGGCAAAACCCCGTCTCTACCAAAAAATACAAAAAATTTAGTCAGGCGTGGTGGAGGTGTGTAGTTCTTGCTACTTGGGAGGCTGAGGTGGGAGGATCACTTGATTCTGGGAGCTCGAGGGTGTGGGTGGGTCATGATTGTGCCAATGCAGTCCAGCCTGGGTGACAAAGCAGGATCCTGTCTCAGAAAAAAAAAAAAAAAAAAAAAGAAAAAGAAAAAGAAAAAGAATCCCTAAAGCAAAAATATATTAAGAATTTTAAGATGCTGATAGCAGAGCAGTAAACCCAGCACAGGCCCTTCTGAGCCTGGCGGCCCAGGTGACCTCACAGCTCACATGCCCCAAAGCCAACTCTGTTGTAAGGCACCTTCTTTCAATCCTTCCACCCCAGGGGTCGGACCCAAGGAAAAGGTTTAAGAACCATTGTTTTCCAACTTTCCCACCGACCCCAGCCAAGGGGCTTGTTTTAGTTAAAAAAATAATAATAATTAAGATTTTAAATTGTGGTCAAGTGTATGTAATACAACTTATCTTAATGTTTTAAGTGTATTAAGTATATTTACATTGTTTTGCAACCCTCCTTATCATTCATCTCCAGAAGATTTTCATCTTCTCAAATGGAAACTCTGTAACCATTAAACCTTAACTCCCTATTCCTCAACCCCAGCTTCTAGCAGCTACCAACATTCTAGTTCTGTCTCTATTAGTATTTTTTTGAGAAAAAGTCTTGCTCTGTCGCCCAGGCTGGAGTGCAGTGGCGTGACCTTGGCTCACTGCAACCTCCGCTGCCCGAGTTCAAGCGATTCTCCTGCCTCAGTCTCCCAAGTAGCTGGGATTACGGGTGCCCACCACTATACCCAGCTATTTTTTTTTGTAATTTTAGTAGAGCTAGGATTTCACCATGTTAACCAGGCTGGTCTCGAACTCCTGATCTCAAGTGATCCATCCACCTCAGCCTCCCAAAGTGCTGGTATTACAGGTGTGAGCCAACGCGCCTGGCCCGCCTCTATTATTTTGACTGCTCTAGATACCTCTTGTGAGTGGAATCACACAGTAATTTTCCTTCTGTGACTGGCTTATTTCACTCAGCACAATGTCCTCAAGGTTCATCCACTTTGTAGCATGTGCCAGAATTTCCTTCCCCTTTAACGCTGGATAATTTCCGTTGTGTGTTTTTTTACCATAGTTTGCTTATCCACTCATCTGCTGATGGACACAATTTGCTTCTCCCTCTTGACTATTGCGAAGAACGCTGTTGTGCACATGGGTGTACAACAATCTCTTGGAGACGCCGCTTTCCATTACTTGGGGTTTATACCTGGAAGAGGAATTGCTGGAGTATGCTGTGATTCTGCTTCGGGGAACTGCCATGTCTGTTTTCCACGGCGGTCGCACCACTTTCCAGCCTCACTAACAGCGCACACAGGTTCCAGTTTCTCCACAGCCTTGCCAACAATTTGCTGGTTTCTGGTTTTGGTAGTCACCTCGCTAAGGGGTGTGAGGCGGTGTCGCGCTGTGGTTCCGCTTTGCATTTCCCTGACCATTCCTGAGGCTGAGCTTGATTTGTGTTTAAATGTGGTCCTTCTCCCTGCCCTTCCAGGAAGGAGATGGAGTCGCTGGAGCAGGCGGGCTCTCTGAAAGGCCCCCTGAGTGCGGAAGAGCAGCTGTCACTCATCAGTGGCTGTCCCAGTATCCAAGAAGCAGCAGAGGGCGCCGTGCACATCCAGGTGAGTTTTCCCGCAGACGTTTTCCCGCAGCCCCTGCAGAGGAGCGTGTCAGGATACAGCAGTGGCAGGTGTGGGCATTTTGCATCTTCGAGGGCAGGATTTTGTTTTACGTGATGGGAAGTGTGGTCCTCAGAACACCCTCTCTCCTGGGTTCTCATCAAACTACTGTGACAATGTTCCGTTTTAGGAGGCCGGAGCCTTATTGGCAAGACCACTAGGGCCTCTGGTGACAACGTTGTATTTTAGAGGCATGAATCGTTTTAGCAAAAATAGGTTTTTCTGAACTGCGAATACCATTTTATTTTGTTTTATTATCTTATCGAATGAGCGATTATTCTTGTTCTCATATGTAATTGAGCAAAAAGCTTAAATCATCAAAAAGAAAACCTTTCACTTAGATGTAGCCTTGCCAACAACTTTACTTTAGAAAAGAGAAATCCTCCTGGGTGCTGTCTGCACACCGCAGGATGAGCCTGGAGAGGTGAGTGGTCCCTCCAGGTGGAGCTGGGAGCAGCCCTCGGGGCTCGGCCCTTTCCAGGCACCCTGCAGGGGCCCTGCCCTGTTGAAGAATCCCGAGGCATACCCTTGTCTTTTCAAAGGCTGCACTTAACTGCTATAACGCTTCTGCAAATTTAACTAAAACGAAAAGAGTCATTATTCCCAGTGTCTCTCCTTGATATTTTGTGTTCTGAGATTTGCACATTTCACATTGTTACTCTGTTGATATCATAGCTGAGAATTTGGAAGCAAGCCGAAAAGGCTGTGTGTGTTTTCTGGTCAGTTGCTGCTCTAAGATTTGGGTCAAATACAGAAGATGGAGGTTTTAGGTGTCTATGACTCTAGAATTTCTTAAAATGGTTAAATTTCTCAATTTGCTAAAAGTTCATTTAACCAATGTGTATCACAACAGAACAAAGGAGAGGACTGTCTTTCAACATCTTGTCTCTTTCTAATATACTATCCTCTGTCTCTTGATATGGTGAAGTTTGTATGAAGCTGAAGGGTCTTTAAAGGGACCCGAGGGCTCCCAATGAGTTTCCAGGGCCACCTGTTTCAACCCTTACTCAGTTGCGGATGCTATAAGAGGACTTGCTTCTGAAGAGCACAGATGCTCTCCAGGCCTGGTCTTGGCAGAGAAGCTTCTTTCACATGAATTTAGTTTTTTGTTTTTGTTTTTGTTTTTGTTTTTTTTTTGAGACCGAGTTTCGCTCTTGTTACCCAGGCTGGAGTGCAGTGGCGCGATCTCGGCTAACCACAACCTCTGCCTCCTGGGTTCAGGCAATTCTCCTGCCTCAGCCTCCTGAGTAGCTGGGATTACAGGCACGTGCCACCATGCCCAGCTAATTTTTTGTATTTTTAGTAGAGACGGGGTTTCACCATGTTGACCAGGATGGTCTCGATCTCTTGACCTCGTGATCCACCCGTCTCGGCCTCCCAAAGTGCTGGGATTACAGGCTTGAGCCACCGCGCCTGGCTAGTTTTTTTTTTTTTGAGATAGAGTCTTGCTTTGTCACCTAGGCTGGAGTGCAGTGGTGCGATCTTTGCTCATTGCAACCTCCGCCTCCTGGGTTCAAGCGATTCTTGTAGCTTGGATTACAGGCATGAAGCACTGCGCCTGGCCATGAGTTTGGTTTTTAAGGAAAGTATTTAGTTATACAATGTGACTGAAGTATGAGTAAGTGATCTATTTCTATAATTTCTACTTTCACATTTCCCAGAATGCCTTTGTTCAGACTCTGGGCCGATATCTGCAACTTCAGCGTGTTTGTCTGTGTGATTACAATCGCTTTCAGTCCCTCTACACAGAGTTCCCACACCGTGTTACCTTTGCTGCTTGGAGATGCTTGCGATGCAGAGCTTTTTGAATCCATCGACAATGTTGGCACTGCAAATTTATCTCCAGCGTCAAAGACTGATTCGGAAACATTTAGGTGTTTTTCCCTCTTGTAATAATAGACTTGTGATTCCACAGCATGGCAACTGGCTGTTTTTTATCTTTTTTTTTTTTCTTTTGATGTCTGTTTCTTCATTCCTTCAACTGTTTTTTCTTTTAAAGAATCTTTCTGGAGCTAATTTATAAATTTCCTAGCAGTAGCAATTGTAAAGTCAATCCCAGGAATAATTCATCTCTCCATGTTCAATTTCTTCGTCTCCCCATCCAATTTTTTTTGATAGTTTATCATATGATTTCTGTAAACATCTAAAACTACCCTAATCGAATTAGTTCTGGTGAATGTGTCTTCCTCAAATAGTGTATTGTTTTTGATAAAGCGGTGAGCCCTCTGTAATATGAGAACATTCTAATAGTCTTGGGTAATAAGGCAAGTTTTTCTGTTAAAGAGTAATTTGGGGGCAATTTGTGAATTTAGACGGTATGTAAAGTGCTTACATGGCATTTGGCACATAGAAAATGGTAATTACTTTACGTCATGGCCATTTATAACAATTTTGGTAATAAAGAATCACATGGGGCAATATGTGGTGTTCTGTTCCTGGCTGGCACTACCGAAAACTGCTCTTTAACTACGGTCAATCTTTATTTTATAGATTAAATGAGTGTATTTACATGGCATGACATGTTAAGCCACATCTATTATGCAGAACACAGAGCCAGGCAGGCTGAGGAGAGAAAACTAGAGAAGGATGATGTAAACTGGGAGGTTTAATTCCTTCGAGAGCTTATAGTCTTCAGAAATTGTTGTGCCTCCAGTACCAGAGGGAGGAATCGGGAGGGACAGTTCTGACTGGGCTGCCGTGGGAAGGTTTAATGCAGGCAGGATTTGAGCTTGTCTTGACCTTTGACAAGTGAATTTTGGGGCTGGGGGTGGGAGGAGATGAACAAGATGAGAAGTCCCTTTGAGGATGTTCGTAAGGCCACATTACGGACCCATTGGAGAGGCAGGCAGGGCTGGCCTAAGGCAGAAACTAAGTCGCCATGCTATGAATGCCAACCTGAAGAATTACTTAGGTTAACTGAGTAATTATATAGCGCTTAGAGGCATACATGAAGAGAAGCACTATTTAAGGGTTTCTTTAAAGAAATAAAGATGAAGGCTGGGTGTGGTGGCTCTTGCCTGGAATCCCAGCCCTCCGGGAGGCCGAGATAGGTGGATTGCTGGAGCTCGAGGAGTTTGAGACTAGCCTGGCCAAATGGTGACACGCTGTCTCTACTGAAGATATAAAAACGTAGCCGGGTATGGTAGCATGTGCCTGTAGTTCCAGCTACTCGGGAAGTTGAGGTGGGAGGATTGCCTGAGTCTGGGAGGTGAAGGTTGCAGTGAGCCTGGATCTGACCACTGCACTCCAGACTGGGTAACTGGAGTGAGACTCCATCTCAAAACAAAACAAAACAAAACAAAACAAAACAGATTATGAGAACGGAGGAAAAAATAATTATACAACAGTAAAGAACTAGATGGTTTGGATTTCAATCTATGTCTTGATTAGAATACTTGCAAGAAAGGTATTTGGTAGGAGAATGAAATGATTCAGACGGAAGGATGAGTAAGAAAAAAAAATCAGCAGTTCGTTTTTGCCAGTTGACTGATTTTCTTGGGCATGTTTACACATTTCTTTCCTTCTTTCCTTCTTTTTGAGATGGAATCTGTCTCTTTCATCCAGGCTGGAGGGCAATGGCATGATCTTGGCTCACTGCACCCTCCACCTCCCAGATTTAAGGCATTCTCATGCCTCAGCCTCTGGAGTAGCTGGGATTACAGGCATGTGCCACCACACCTGGCTAATTTTTTGTATATATATATTTTAATAGAGACTGGGATTTTACCACGTTGGCCTGGCTGTTGTTTAACTCCTGACTTCAAGTGATCCACCTGCCTCCGCCCCGTCAAAGTCCTGGGATTATAGGCTTGAGTCACTGTGCCCAGCCTACACATTTCTTTAGATGATGTAGAGAAAATTTAATCCTCTGAATTTTAAAACTAGTGCATAGGCTGGGCGTGGTGGTGACCCACGCCTGTAATCCCAGCATTTTGGGAAGCCAAGGTGGGCAGATTGCCTGAGCTCAGTAGTTCAAGACCAGCCTGGGCAACATGGCAAAACCCCACCTCTACTAAAAATACAAAAACATTAGCCACACGTGGTGGTGCATGCCTGTAATTCCAGCTACTCGAGAGGTTGAGGCATGAGAATCACTTGAACCCAGGAGGTGGAGGTTGCCGTGAGCCAAGATCGTGTCACTGCACTCCAGTCTGCGTGACAGAGCGAGACCTTGTCTCAAAAACAACAACAAAACCTAGTGCATATTAGTGTCTCAGGTTTACCAAACAAACAAGTAAATGAAACCCCCAGAGTGAAACCTACCTAACACCAGGCCGTATGTTTGTTAAAGTACATTAGTGTTGCTAACAAAATGTCCTGTTAAACATGTATCTCACAGAGTTAAGCATCTCTAGGTTGCAAAGAAAGTTTAGGACAATCCTGTTTAGGTCCATTATTCAAAAAATACTTATGATTTTTGTGTCTTTATATTTTTTCCACTTCTGTTTATTTTCTCTCTCTCTAACGCATTTGAGATTATACTGTAAATAGAACTTTGTATCATGGTTTTTATTTAAAACTTAGAACATTCCTGCTGTGTGATTTGCTCAGGGGTAAATCAGATAGAAGATGTGTGTGTGTGTGTGTGTGTGTGTGTGTGTGTGTGTGTGTGTGTATTTTTTTATTTTTTATTTTTTTGAGACAGAATCTCACTCTGTCGCCCAGGCTGGAGCGCAGTGGCACGATCTTGGCTCACTGCAACCTCCCCCTCCCAATCAGTTAGGATTACAGGCATGTGTACCACCACGACTGGCTGAATTTTGTATTTTTAGTAGAGATGGGTTTCACCATGTTGGCCAGGCTGGTCTCAAACTCCTGGCCTCAAGTGAGACGTATGATTTTTAGACTTGAAAAATTGTGATATCCACCATTTGATGGCGAACCTGAAAGAAGCTTCCCTCTAAGCATGGCATTAGAGCTGACGTCTCCAAAGTCTGTGGACT